GGGGGGAAAGTGAGTTATTTGGGCTGGAGAGATGTCTCAGTGGTTAAAAGCAATGGCTGTTCTTTCAGAGGTCCTGAGTTCAATTTCCAGCAATCACATGATGGCTCACAACCATCTATAATGAGATCTGACGCCCTCTTCTGGTCTACAGGCATACATGCAGACAGAATACTATATATGTAATAAATAAATCTTTTTTTAAAAGTGAGTTATTTGTTTTTAGTGAGATTTTTGCTTTGACACTGGGTCTCCTGTAGCTGATGCTGCCTTGAATTCATTATGGCCCGGAGGACCTTGGATCTGATCCTCTGGCTTCTTCCTCCCAAATACTGGGGAGCACCTTGCTGGCCCTGGTCCTTCTCTATCTGATCATATTGTTACCAAGTAAGGTCTGCTTGACTCACTGTGTGTTATGCCAATCACTGAAATTATGAGTTTTGGAAAAAGAAAAAGCTTATTCATGGGGCATCCAAATATAAGACAGAGCCCCCCACCCCCAAACCTGCCTTCCCTAGACCGGATGGCTTGATCTGTAGAGAAAACAACTGGGGGAAAGATGTGAATGCGTTGTGTTCTGCACAGGGGTTATCAGACTACCCGGATCATCACAGGATACCTGCCCTGAAAATTCCACAGTTTTCCTCTTGTGTGGAGTTTGGTCCAGATTCAAAGGTCACCCATGGGACACTCGCACAGGCCTAGGGGAAGGACTGGGGGTTTTAACCAGTTTGAGTGGCTTCCGAGTTCCTGAAAAACAAAGAACCAAACAAACAAAAACCATAGACAACTACTGTTAATATTCTGACCTGCCCCCTTGAAATCCCACCCCTTGGGACCACCCTGTGTCCTGACTTAGAAGCCTCTTCTTAAGGAGAAACTCCACACCTTCCTCTCTCTTTCTCTCTGTCTCTGTCTCTCTCTCTCCACTCTCATGAGGCGTGTACTCCTCTACCCCCACCTCGTTCTTTCTCTCTTCTCTCCTCTTTCCCTCTTTCCTATCTTCTTTCCGTCTCTCTATTATAATAAACCATTTCCTTGAGGATATAGTATCTGGGTTGTGAATGTCCACCTGCCGCCCCTCTGCCATGCCCGCATGGAGTGGGGCGCCTGCCAGCCCGCCGCTGCATCTGCCCAGCATGCCAGCATGTTTCTCTGCATGCGTGGGATACCCTCGGGGTCCCCACGTAATCTATGGAAACAACATTTCCCATCAGAATCTAGGTCAGAGTGTTACCTGTGCAGGAAAGGGACAGGGGGCAAACTGCTAAGGCTCCCTTTAGACCTGAGGACAACGCTCCACCGGGCTCCCCGGGTCCAGCCCCCATCCATGTTGCCTACTGAGCCACTCTGAGTCCCATGCCCATCACTCAGCCCAGACTGCTCTACAGATGTCCTTTCTCCAGGAATCTCTGTGGCATGTTCTCATGTCCTACTGGTACGTGGAAGTCACCAGGGGACAGATTCACCCAGACCTTACCAAAAGTAGGTTTTCTTATTTTTGTGGCTTGCTACCACTACTTTTTAAACTACCTAAGCTGGGTACCTTCAGTAATCATGGCAATTTCTGTTATTCCCTTTCTCCTTTCCACCTGTCCCTCCCTCCCTCCCTCCCCCCCTTTTATATTATTGCTTTTATGTGTGTGTGCCTGAGCATATGGAGTACACCCTGCTTGTGCAGTACCGAACGTGGCCAGAAGAGGGTGTTTGTTGTATATCGAGTGTGGGTGTGGGTTCACTCCGGTCTGTGGAATCAAGAGACAGGGGCACCCCGAGAACGAATCTTTAGCCTTTCCCAACTGTAGGGGGATTCATCCCTAGGGACTGGTCCACTGTAGTTTAGTAAAGGGTCTTTTGTTTGTTTATCGAGACAGGGTTTCTCTGTGTAGTTTTGGTGCCTGTCCTGGATCTTACTCTGTAGACCAGGCTGGCCTCGAACTCACAGAGATCCTCCTGGCTCTGTCTCCCAAGTTCTGGGACTAAAGGCGTGTGCCACCACCACCACCACCACCACCCACTCCCCCACCCCCATCTTTTAGCAAAGTCACCTTAGTCCCCAACACCTCTCACCTAAGCTTCCCCAAGGGGACAATGCCAAATGCAAATTCTCAGTTAAGGAATATCAGAGTCTTCAGGATTGTTCCTCAACCAAGTCTGCGTAGGCTTTGTACCCTTAGAAACGCTTAGAAGATTCGCTTAGCGAGTGACCAGAGGAACAAAAGGTGGATTGAGACCAGGTGCTAGCCCCGTGGAGCCAGACCAGGTGCAGCTCTGTGGGAATTCTCCCCACAGGCCTCCGATCCCCTAGAACTGGATGAACAGGTGGCTGTGAGCCGCTGTGGGAGTGTTGGGAACCCAACTGGGTCTCTGGAAGAGCATCCAGTATTCAGTACTCTTACCTGCTGGGCCGTCTCCCCCCAGTACCCCGCTCTGCCACTTCTTATTTGATACAGGGAGTCCTGTAGTTCAGGCTGGCTTTAAACTCCAGATCCTCCTGCTTCTGCCCACGAGTACTGGGTGACAGGTCTGTGCCCCTATACCCAGCCTGTCCGTTCTTTTCTCTTTTGTTTTTTCTAGTGCTGCTGTGCCATGCTGCAAAACACAGTTGCATGAAGAACAGGAGAGTCTCTGTGAGTTCTAGGCCAGCCAGGGGGACAAAGGAAAACCCTGGGTCCCTCCAGGAGCCGGAGCGGGAGCGGGAGCAGGAACAGGAGCAGGATGCTCTTTGCTGCTGAGCCCTCTTTCCAGAACCCACTCTTGAATTAATTTCTTTCTTTCTTTCTTTCTTCCTTTCTTTCTTTCTTTCTTTCTTTCTTTCTTTCTTTCTTTCTTTCTTTCTTTCTTTCTTTCTTTCTTTCTTTCTTTCTTTCTTTTTAGAAGCATAAATATTTATTTGTAACAAAGGAGTTTGTGTACAGTGTTGAAAATCTACAACTTCTTGTTAAATTCACATTTGCACCTCATCTTTTAAAACAAACATTTATAATCATTATTTTATACAGATATAGATATGTAAAAACAACATCGAGTTCAGTGGTCCTTCAGCATCTTCCACTTAAAGGTTTTTTTTTTTTTGAACATAAAAACAGGTTATAATTCCAAAGTCCAGAGTTATTTGAAACTGGAAAATATTTTCTCTGTAGAAAATAGTAGAAATAATAACATTTCCCAATAAGCCCTTTTAAGCCAAATAATAGCTGAATTATACATATAAATATTGATTAGATTCTGGGATACAGAAGAAACCTATCTTCATCTGTTCAGAGAGCTATGTTTTACTTAAGTTGTGGAAGTGAGATTCATCTTCATTTTCTTCTTCACTGTTCGATTTATGGCAGACATTTTTCTATAGGCTAATCCATAATCTAAAAAGATTTTAGCCCCCCTCCTGAAAGTATGGCCAGCATTTTCTTTCATCAGCTTGATACAGAACAAATTCTTATCCTAACAGTGAAGTGTTTCACTAAAGCATTCCCAGTGAAACCAAAACTTATTATAACCCACAGTCATCCTAGGGTCCCCCGTGCTAGGTAGCCTCCCTGGATCTGTGGGTTGCAGTCTGATTGTCCATTGCTTTATATCTCCACTCTTGAATTTCTGACCCTTCTGTCTCCATCTCTGGAGTTCTGGGATTACAGTCCGGCCCTGCTGCACCCAGCTCAGGCTGGGAGTGTGACCTTGGGGTAGAAGAAAGGTCTGGCTTTGGGTTTCCCTGATGTGCCAGAGGCCTCTCCACCCTTGACCAAGTCAGGGAAGGAAGCCAAGGGCTTCTGCAGGTTACAGAGGAAAGTGTGTGCAAGTCTGTCACCATCCCTTCCAGTATGAGGGGACATTCTGCTGCCCAAAGGACAGATACCGTTTCCGATCCTTGTTAACTACTCTATGGACTTAGTCCTCAGGACTCAGCAGCCTTTAAATCTGGAGCCAGGGACAACCCAGCAGGTGTGTGTTTCAGCTCAGTGCTGGTGTTGATGTCTCATGTTAATGTGCCTAGGCTGACACTGGGCCTATGTAGCTGAGGCTGCTCTTGAACTCCCAATCCTCTGGCCTCTACCTCCCAAGAGCTGAGATTATAGGCAAGTGCCAGTATACCTAAAAATCTTACCTCATTTTTCTATTTTTGGAGTCAGGGTTTGACTATGTAACCCAAGCTGAACTGGAACTCACAACCCTCCCCTCCTCCTGCCTCAGCATTTTAAGTGCTAGGATTAGGGGGCTGGAGAGATGGCTCAGTGGTTAAGAGCATTTGCTCCTCTTCCAGAGGTCCCAGGTTCAATTCCCAGGACCCACAGGCTACCACGTAACTGTCTGTAACTCCAGTTCCAGGGGATCCAAAGTCCTTTTCTGACATCAGTGGGCCATGCCTGCATGTGATACACAGACATACATGCAGGCAAAATACCCATACACATAAAATACAACTGTTAGTACCCTGCTCTCACTCTTCTGGGTGTAAAGTCCTATGTCATCAGGGTGTTGTAGGTGACTGCTTACCACCACATGATCCGCAATCTCTGCCTTAAAAAGCCACACGAGCAGGGCGGTGGTGGCGCATGCCTTTAATCCCAGCACTTGGGAGGCAAAGCCAGGCGGATCTCTGTGAGTTTGAGGCCAGCCTGGTCTACAGGGTGAGATCCAGGACAGGCAGCAAAACTACACAGAGAAACCGAAACCTTGTCTCAAAAAAAAAAAAAGTAGAGCTGGGCAGTAGTGGCGCATGCCTTTAATCCCAGCATTTTGGAGGCAGAGGTAGGTGGATTTCTAAGTTTGAGGCCAGCCTGGTCTACAGAGTGAGTTTCAGGACAGCCAGGGTTACATAGTGAGACCCTCTCTGGGTGGGGAAAGTGTTAGGATTAAAGATGTGTGCAACCAAGCCCAGCCAAAGTTTTATCATTTAAAAAATGGTTAGATACTTTTGTGGACAACAAAAACAACAACAACAAAAAAATGACTTTCCTTTGAAACTGAGGGCGAAATAGTTTTTCTCTTTTTTTTTATTCCAGGTTTCTTTGGGCAACTATTGAAGTCTTGTCTTTTTACAACCTTGCCTCATTCACCTCTAACTCGGTAAGAATAAGAGGGGAACAGTTTTATTTTTTATATATTTAATGTACATAGGTGTTTTACCTACATGTTTGTGTAACATGTGTGCACCTGGTGCCTGCGAAGGCCAGAAGAAAGCCCTGGTACTGGAGTTCCAGACGTTCCAGAACGTTGGGAAGCACCATGTGGGTTCTGAGACTCGATCCTGGGTACTCAGGAAGCAGCCTGTGCTCTTGACTACTGAGTCTTCTCTTCAGCCTGTGCAGTTCAGATAGGAAGAGGAAACAGCCACAAAGGAGCTGGAAGGACAATGTGAGGAATGCAGAGTGCAGGCCTTGTGGGGACATTCTAACCCCTGGGTCTCACCTGGGGCAATGCCGAGACTCTGGAGTGTAGCACATTCCTGCTGAGCTCCTGGCCTGGCTCAAGAGAGCAGCACCTAGCCCTAATCCTTCCTTTGTTTAACTACACCTTTTGTTTCTCTTATCACCGGATGTGAATCTTGTCTGAGAGTCAAGGATCAGAGAGTCCCCCAAGGATCTAAGGCCTATGCAAAACTTGGTTCAGGAAACCCAGAAAACCATGTTACCTGATCAAGTAATTTGCACTTGGCATTTGGTCTCTGGGAGCTCCTTTTAGGTTGCTTTGAAGGTATGGGAAGTTAACTGGCTAAACTGTAAATAGAGAGTAAATAAAAATGCCTTAGGTGAAGGGAAGGTTTTTCAGCCCTTGGAGGCTGGACCCCGGCAGCCATGAAAGGCTAGATTCATTCTTAAGATGCCTCTGAGTCTTCTTTCCACGGAGCCTCGTGAACCCACACACCTGTGTCCTGACACACAGTTACACTGGAGATTTAGCACATTCACTTGGGCCGGCTGGATTGGAGTCACTGAACTCAATCTACCTCTCTCTTTCAGTCAGAGTACTGATGCTCGGTGTGGGTAACTGGCCCATGGTGGGTAACTGGCTAACATGGTGAATTTTGGGGCAGAGGCAGGACCAGAGCACAGTGTCCCAACTCCAACCATACTGGGCGTTGTATGAGACCCTGTACCTCTTTGGCACGTTTTTATTTGTTTGTTTGTTTATTGTTTGTGAGTGCATGGTGTGTACATCACATGACACAGTGCACATGTAGAAGGCAGAGGACAACTTTGTGGAGTGGATTCTCTCCTTCCACTTTTACATGAAGTCTGGAATTGAACTCAGGTTCTCAAGGCATGTGTGGCAAGCACCTTTATCTGCTGACCTATATTGCCCACCCTTTGGTCTGATTTTAAATGGAGACTTGTGTATTACTTAGTTAAATTTTTAGGTAGGTTTATTTATTTATTTAATGTTAAGAATGGAGCCTGGGGATTCATATCGTGCTGGGCCACTGAGTCACCTACCAATTCCTATTTTCTCTTTTATTATCCCTTCCTGACTCCCATGCTTTAACTACCATGCCGATAGACTTGTTTTCCTCAATATTTGTGCTGGTCTAGAAGCACGAAACTAAAAGATTGCTTCATCAGCAGAGATGCCTATCTTGTTTATTTACTGAGAAGGCGGGTCTGTTTCAGGTCCTCAGCACCTCTCCAGGACAGGAGGAGGCTGTGGTTTCTGGGCAGCTTGTGGCCCATCTCCTGGATACACTCCCAGACGACAGTGAAGTCTACATCTGTGACTGTGTGGAGAGTCACAGAATCTTCCGTTTGCCTTCACCCCGTCTGTCCTAGGCTGTGGGCCAGACTGCTTGGAGGCTAAACAGAATGCACCTGGTATTTGTAGCAGGCTGTTCAAGAAGTTTCTCCTCTAGCAGAAACAGGTGGATCTAACCTGCAGCCCACGGGATACCTGTGCCTCAGGAAGGCCATAACTGCAGCCTGACACAGAATTGTAAATTTAGCTGCGCGTGGTATCGAACATCTTTGTTCTCAGCACTTGGGAGGCAGAGGCGGGCAGATCTCTGTTCAAGGCCAGCCTGGTCACATAGTGAGTACCAGGACAGTCAGAGCTACTGTCTCAAACAAACAAACAAACAAACAAACAAACAAACAGAAAATGTGGGCCCGGCCCCCCACTGTGAGTGGCTGCAGCCTTGCTTGCCGACCTTGACCAGATGTCCTCCCTATTCAGATTCCCTGCCTAACCATCACTGATCACCGGAGAGATCACAGGAGGTTCTTTGTTCCTGTATCCTGCATTTGGTGTAAACAGCTTAGATGCAAGAATGTAGAACATTCGGTAGTGAACTTCTGCCCTCCAGGGATCCTCCATTGTGCTATAAGCCTGTATTTAAGGTTTCCTCCCTCTTTCAATAAATGGCATTTGGCATTCGGCATTTCAGCCATGGCAAATGACTTGCTGTCTCTTGTCTCTTATTTTCTAATCCACAGCCCCTCGCTCGGACATGGTGAACGGGTATTGGTAACGTGGGCGTTACCGCAACAAGAAAACAATAACAACCCCCCCAGAATTGTAAAGTAACTAAAACATTAAGAAAGAGGCCAATGATATGGCTCAGTGGATAAAGGTGCTTCTTTCTAAGCCTGATTACCTGGGTTCAGTCTTTGGGACCCTCTGTGGAAGGAGAGAACAGACTCTGAAAGCTGTCCTCTGACCTCCATATTCATGCAGCACACATGTAAAAGAAATAATAAATGGAAAACAAAAACATCATTTGGTTTGGCTTTTGAGTCTTTTCCAGCTCCCCAGCGAAAGTCCTCTCTTATGCTGAAGGGTCCAAGAACATAGGAATAAGATAGAGATATAGGAATGAAAAGTTATAAGCTCGAGAGATGGAAGCCGACAGGCATCAGCTCTGCCATCAAAGAGGGATTAACCTTTGACTGGGTTAAAGGGCCCTTCCTCGTTTTACGATGGGCAGCTCTGACAGCAACCCAAATGTGAGTTTTTTACTCAAGATTGCTCTCTGCAGACCTGGGGTTAGCTATTCTTGATAACCCCCTACCACTCACTACCGAAACCAAAGTTAACTTTTAATGAGTTCTATGTGACAATCTGCTTTACATTGCTTCGTATTCCCCCTGCTATGGGAGCACAGCGATGTCAGGAAAAGTTGTTGGGGCAAACATCACTTAGCGGTGTCGGGGGAGACTGCAGGGAGATACAGATTCTTTCGTCCATGCCTAATGCTTTCCCCTTACTATAAGAAGGGGCTCATAGCCCCTCCAATCGTCACAATTACAGAATCCCAAACTCTGGCCATGGTCTCAGCTCCCTGATAAGCGTTTTTGTGCCCTGCAGTAATTTTTTTGGAATAAAGTTTTGCTTCTGGTTTTAGACTGTGGTTTGCACCCCATTATTTTGCATGTCCCCCTGGATGCGAATGAAAGGGACAAGAGACACAAAGAATGAGAGCAAGACAGGACGTCTGATCAAGCTCCAGAATTTTATTTTACTCTCAAGGCATATATAGGTAGGCAAAGGGGGATGCAAGCAGGAAGGGACTTAACTATGGGCTGTTCGCCCAGCAGGAAATGTGGCTCTGAAGGTTATCTATCTACCCTTGTCTAACTGCCTAATTGCTTAACTGCAGCTCGTTCACCTGATTTCTGAGAAGAGGTTCTGGTATCTGTGGGAAGAGGTTCTGGTGTTATGGAGACTTAAGCAAGGCCTAGATCTAAGAAAAGAGGAGAGAAACCCAAATATGGCAGCATGTATGTCAAGGGTCGCTTAGGCTTACGGCTCCCGTCAATCTGGTGGCTTACCTTTCAGGATCTAAACACCTTGAGCCTGGCCAAGGGCAGGTTCCA